TTTAAAACTACAGATTCATATTTTATCTTGTAAAAAAAAAAAAAGTGCTGTTTCCTTAGTTGTAATGCTAAGTTTAAATTGTGCCTTTTACTTTTGAACCGCAAAGTTTGACGGTTTTCGTGTCCGGGAAGGGGGGGAGCACATTTTGGACCAGGACCGAAGAGGAAATGCGTGTCCAGGAAATAGCTCCCGCCGTGTTCGAGAATCCACAGATCGAAGCTATGGGTTCTTGGTTGCTTTCTGCTCCCCTGCTAAAAGTTTAACTTCTAGTGGTTTCATGGAAACCCCATTAGTTTGCAAAAAGTTCAAGTCCTAACATCCAAGCAAGATGCACCAAAGGGTTTGCTCTCCCTGCCTATCTTGAAGTGAGCAATCAGCTTCTGTTCATCGCCATTCGTTTCCGCCAGTTCGATGTCCAAGACCGAGCTCAGGGCGGCAGCGATCACATTGAAGCCGGCCATGCCGATGAACCTCGGGCAAAATGTTTCACGCAAACCAGGAGTGAATTACCCTCTCTCCAGTTAATATGGAACCTGACAGAGCTTCCTGGAAGACTCATTTTTCTTTTGGGACCTCCTGTCAGGTTCCATGTTAATTGGTGGGAGGGTATGTGTCTACGATCCCAGATTCACAGATCTGAGAAGTACAATTCGAATGGTGATTCATCCTCGTTTTCGTCAAAGGGCATCCTAAATGTTTCTACCCCTACAACAAACAAAAATCGGGACCTAGCAAAACCTAGCAAGAAAGCCACGCAAACATCTCTGAGTTGCCAAACCTAGGAGCGAGGCCCACACGGCAAAGAAGATCAGCAGGCCGCTGACGAGCGCGGAGGAGATCGCCTGGTCGGAAGTGCACCAGCCATCCGGCGTCTGCTCCACATCTGTGGGGATCATACCTTCCCAACGGTTTCATATCTGGGTTTGGTGGCTGCTTTATCTTTCTTTTAAAGGAGAAAAAACACATTTCCGGATTTGGTGGCTGATTTCTTCAAAACAAAAAGAGAAAACAACACATTTCTGGCTTGGTGGCTGATTTCATTAAAAACAAAAAAGAAGGGGAACAAACAACTGCGTTTGGTGGCTGATTTCTTCAAAACAAAACTTTTGGTGGCTGATTTCTGCACACAAAAAGAACCCCTGAGTTTGAGTCTAACCCTGGCCAGCCCCGTCAGCCAGTATTGTTCTTGGCCCCGTTCGCAAGACAAACAAACACTTTCAAAGACCGAATGTTCTTTTTCTGACCACTTGCACAAGAACTAAAGAAGCAAAGACCTTTGAAAAGTATATGCCAAGAACAGTGACGATACCAACAGACAGCTGCACGGAGTTGGAGCCGATGAAGAGGAACATGAAGATCCTCACCATGGAGGTACCTGCAAACAAAAAATAAGCTCAGGTCATATCCCCAACAGCATGCGGTGTTTTTTTTAGTGCTCGCACCATCCCGCAGCCCTCGCAGAACCTCGTGGAGCCCTGGTGAAACGCTGGTGGAACCCTGGTGGCACGCTGGTTGAACCCTGGTGGAACCCTGGTGGAACCCTGGTGGAACCCTGGTGGAACCCTCTGGAACCTTACCTCAGGGCCGCCCCGGACCACCCCGGAGCCTATCTGGGCTGAGACCCCAAAGCTTTCAGTTGTTGGGGAGAAGAAAAGACATTTCACGGGACTCTCGCCAAGCCTCATTCAAACCCCAACTTGTCTCCAAAGCAACTTCGCCAAACCTCCTCCCCCCTCCACCACCCCTTGAGACACCTCCCCTCCCCTCCCGCCTCTCCGCACGTCTTTCAGGGTCACGCGGTGGGGCACTTTGCTCCACGTCAGGCCCATGCCCGGCAGCGTGTCGTTGACGCCCCCGCAAAAGTAGCCGCACCACCACCGCTTCTTCGGCACCTGACCCAAACACTCGTCGTTCTAAACGGTGGCATTCGTCTCACGGCGATCTGTATGAGGAACCCCCTGCGTCATACAGATCGGCTTGGGACCTGAAATTGCTCAACATGGTCCAACGTAACAAAGTTTGGACAGAACACCGAATCAGGTAAGGATGTTAAGGCGTAATCCCAAGGTGCCAGTCGGCCGGGAACACAGTGATGCTGTCACTGCAGCATGGTTCCCTTAACGGGCTGAAGGAATGAGTACTGTAGCTACTATGCAAGAGTTCAGAATCACCGAACCCAGGAACTAAGAAGCTATGTCAGATGCGAGTATGGACACATGCAGTGAAGGACTTGCATCAATCTCATGGCATTGAAAAACGAGCAGAATGGCACTGTTGTGAGAATGACAATTACATCCAACGCGGGCATTCAAGCTTCTGCGCAAATAAAGTCTGCCAAACGTGCCACTTCCGCTTTCAAAGAACTTCCCCTGCGCAAGTGGCTTCCACAAGCCTAGCCTGCGATGCGCGAAACTCTTCGACTCAGGGAGCCGCACAAACGGCGACCTGTGCCTATCTCTGCCAGCTGGAAACACAGGCACGCGCGTGACGGATGCACGTACAAGGCTACGTACACATGTTCAAGCAAGGCGATGTGAAACCGGTGGTTCGATTCCTAAATCGATCTCAAAAGTGCAAAACACATGCACTGTGTAAGCTTGGCGTCAACCGTGGTAAACCACTCAACATCATTCTTCCCTGCAAAAGCACTCAAAAGCCATCTTCCTTTTTGTGCGTGCGTGTGTGTATGTGTGGCCACATGTTACCCGCAACATTTCCGTCCCAAAGAAGCACCCACGTCAACCCCTCTCCCCTCCCGGACTCCCGGACTCCCGGACTGCTCGGCGCGGCGCCCTGCGCAGCAGCTCCTGGGGCATGGGCGGCTCGCCCAGCAGCGCTAGGAAGTAGCGCGTCATGCAGCCCACCACCACGCAGGAGAAGATGGCCATCAGCAGCTCCAGCACGAAGGCCGTGGCCGGGCGGAAGATGCAGACCTCGTCGGCGCAGGCGCTGAGTTCTGTTCGCATCTCTTTTTTTTGGTTGGGCCCTTGGCTTTTGATTTGGTCCGCAATGAGGGTGCCAGTGAAAACATGCTTGGGCAAACTTCACAGAGGAAATATCCGGGCAAAATGGTGCGAACATGCTGCTTGATCATTGTCCCCTTGAAGGCCCATGCTGGCAAATCCAGGATGTAGCTGCACTGTGAATCACTGTGAAGGCGATCCTTTCAGAAACATGACAAAGGTGCTCCGTTTAGGCGTAAGTGTGATGGTCAGTGTCAAACGGTGCATCAGAAATCAATATGTAGCTCTGGACTCGGCTGACTGTCCTTCGCACGTACGCCAGGAAAATCGCAGCTTTCCAAGCTCCTTGAGCTGTGGAAGTAGTACTGGAAACAAATGTGAAAACGCGATTCGACAAGTGCAGCTCAGCAGCTGCTGCCATGGAAGTAATGATGGCAGGTGTCGCCACGATGGTGCGGACTAGCTCCATATGCACCGGCACAATTGGCCGTTTCTCCTGCAAACAAAGCTCGTATCTCCACATTGACATCACCAAGGCATCAGCATGCACATACCTCTCTTCTCTCCTGAAAGTCTCTCTCTGCATAACGAATGTGTCACCTGTAGCCAATCACCACCAGTAGACTCACAGATGCCAAGCACCCAAGCCCACAGCAGCTGCCAGTCATGCAACGCAAAGCGGTTGGCAATAGCCAGAATTGAAACTTTTGTGGCTCTGCCCCACCTCGTCACACAGCTGGCCGCTGCGTCGGCAGTCGGTTATGGTCCACCCTAAGCAGGTGAAAACTTCTGCAGTGGCAGGGATTTGTGCGCATGTTCAATTTTTCTCATGCGTAAAAAAAAGCTGGCTGGTCGTCTCCACTGGCCTTTCAGGTTGCTTGAGGCATGGCATGCCAAAACAAGCTGTTGAGTGCAGAGCACAGCTGGGAATTAGCACACCAGTCACTGGCCTCGCCGAGCCTGCCGTCAACACCAGCTTAAGGCTTAGCATCAGTCTTGCATCATCCAGAACCAAGCCGCCACATCTATCGAGTCGTGAGCAGACCACAAGGGGCAGCACCCTATCCCAGAGTCAATTGGTCAAAGTTTGAGTCAAAGCTATGTGGAGCAAAGGAGCCGCTGATAGAATATGATAGAATCGAAGCAATCCAACTCCCTCACATTTCCACATTCGCTTTGTCAGCACCACTCACTGCAAGCCAAGCGTCAACCTACGTAACCCAGCGTCACCAGAAAGGACGTGAAGGTCACGGCGCCGATGACCACTCTCGGCAGGGAGAAAGGGTTTGCGTGCAAGATGTGTCAACGCTTTCCATGGAAGTGCGTGAAAGTGCAAAGCTCAGTGCGTCTAGACTCCTTGGCTCCCTGGCTGTTCCCAGTTTTCTGTTTTTTCTCCGTAGAATCAACACATCCCCTCGAGCATTGCAAGTACCAAAGATGCTGATTGGAATACGGGCACTCGGGTCTCGACACCACAACTTCAAGGCGCCAACAAGGCAAAGTAAAATGACACAATGAAGCCCCTTGGCTGACGGCCATCAGCATATGTCAACCATACCAGTTCTAACATGATCTGGGTGGTTCAAGTGCATCAAAGAATCAAAGCCTTCAGAATCCAAGCAGCATTTCCCATGGAATTTGTCCTGGGCTTACAAAAGCTGTGTAGCTCCAGGTGGCATTCAGCGGCATGGCTTCAGGCTCTAGGCAAGGAGATCAGATGCTCGGTGCCAAGAGATGGGAAAAGAACGCCATGCAGCTGAACTTTGGTGCCTGTCTTTTGCTTTTGCTTTTGTTTTGTTTGCTTTTTATCTCAGCAGCACGCTGAGCCAAAAGTGGTGACTGCGGCAGCACGCTGAGCCAAAAGTGGTGCCTACGGCACTTCTCTCAATAAAACAAAACAATCTGATGCCTCCCACTGAAGCTTTCCGACAAAGGCACGGCAGCTGCTCAAAAGTGGGCCACAAGAAACCCCGCAACGCTCAACCCCTTGAAGGCCTTGCAACCTGACCAGTGCGACCTCACGCCCGGGCAACCAGCCTGTGGAGGCAGTCCCCGAGCATAGAACTCCTGGCAGACCCCGCGGCCCCGAAAGCACAGCGCACGAAAGTGGAACACACCTGCCGACGGGCTTTCATCTACCGTCCCCGACAAATGTATGTCTAAATAGGGGAACCAATGGCAAAAATGGCTGACAACTGGAGTCAACACCTCTGGACTGCTCCCGCCGTGTCCTGCACGGCTCCCACGATATCCTGCACGGCTTGGTGTTGCAAGCGGATACGTCATACTTTTGAGGGTACCCGGTCCCTCTTTGTGGGGTTGTTTCAGGGGAAACGGGCATCATCCCCAACCACCACAGAAGCACCATGCGCCCTCCTCTTGCACCATCGGCCAAAAGACATCCAGGGGGATCTCTTCAGGCACCGCCAACGTCACCGAGTGCACCTTGGAAACCGTCCCCAGGAAACTGCCTGCCGACCATTCAAATGTTGGAGAGTCCCTGCTGCTGGGGAAAAGCGGCTCCAGCCATAAAAACGAGAAATCAAGCAGAACCCACACTTGTCAGAACCAGCTAGACAGCTAGTCGACTGGGCCAAGGTTCAACTCACAACCATGCAGGTTGCGCTCCGCTTGTCTTGCCAAGAGGAAAGAGGAGGCTATGAGGTTGCGGCGTGGGAAGCTGGGTCCACTCCAACACTGGTCTCGCCTTGGCACAAATGACCAGCAACAGGCTAGTTCAATTGCTCGGGCATTACACGCCGTGAGAAGCCCTCAGCCAACAGGAACTACCCCACGAACCGCATATTCGGTCAATGAGTGCCAAACAGCCAGCGGAGATGGCAGATGCTTGCAGCAAACCTCGGCGTGCGTCTGCCCTCACGACACAAAGTACATGTGTCCGAACACTACTCAGATTCAGTCTCTCAAGATCCAGAGCCGCGTGGCCAATCATGAGCAGCGAACACGCTCATCGGAGTGCATCTGAATTTGCATACCCAAACCCGTCCCAACCCTTGAACTCCCCCCGCCCCAAAACGGGCCCGGCGCTTGAGGCGCTTGGCCCGCCAAAGAGCCCCGGGCGGTTCCGCTCCGCCTCCACCAACTCCAGCGCGCCCGGGCAGCTCTCCCCTGTGCGCACCTGGGGAACACGTGGAGAAGCGCGGGCGGGAGAAGCTGGGGGAAAAAGTGCAGAAGATGCACCGACAAATGAGTGATTGAAAACAGGAGAAAAGCAAACCGGCACGGATCAAATGCTAACGTGGTGACATTCGGACCCGGTTCTGAACGCCCCCTCTGGGGGACATATCAAGTTGCTGGGCAGAACAGCGCAATTGCATTGTCCATGGAAGGCAAATCAACCAGCCGCCACAAGAACAGTGCCTCTCCATATCAATTCCATCAATTCCAAGGCCGCCGCTGCACGGCTGAGAGCTTGCACCACACAGCCTTCAAGTCGCATTTTGACAAGTGAACTCTCCCTCGAGTGTCCCAACCCAGGGCTGTTGGGCTTGAGAAAACCCACCTGAAATAAGTTGAGGCTGGCCGACATAGACCCTCCTGGCCTCGCGCGAAGCCAGCCTGGCAGAGGGTTGGAGCCAGACCCCAAACAACATGAAGACATGGAGATACAAAAAAGCCTCCCTCCCACTACCCTAGCACCTGTGGGGCACGTGAACAACAGATGTTCCACTCCAAGAGACGCCCTGCGCGGTTCCATGTGGTTGCAAGACCCTGTGGCCCAGATTTGCCCAGAGGCAGTGCATAGTATTCAGAAATTCAAAGGCCGTCAAGGCATGCACACCGCCCAACATAGCGGTGCAAGGACGGAAAGGAACTCTGGCAACCTGAGGATGGGCCACTTGATCAAAAAACTTCAGTTCGGTCGCGGCCAACCATGTGCTTGAGGCCAAGTCGCCAGTGACAGCTCAAAAATCGCTCCCATAGATACTGCCAATGGACTGTGGCCGGTCTGCCTGAGATATTTGGGAATCAATCAACCATACCGTGTGCGGCGGCCCCTCAACCTGCCCGCCTTGGGGCCACGTGGGGCGGAACCTGCATTCCGTGAACTCGGTGAGGAATTGGCGTGGTTCTAACTCACCCTTTCGTGGACACATGGCACAAAATGGCACAAGGGTCCCAAAAGGGCCCCCTACCTTTTGGCGACACCCCATGTATCCAAATGCATCAAGCAAAAACCAAGGATACCACAATCTCGAAAAATAGTTTACGGTCGATTTGCTGACAACGTTGTGGAAATCGGGTGCTCGCAGGTCTGCAAAAGGATCTGCCCAACTCTTTGACACATGGCAAGGTGTCTCAATCTTTAGCACCCGCTTGCGCAGGGTTCCAAGATAACTCGGAACTCAATTCCAAAAAGTAGATGTCCTATTGAGCGCCTTTAATACCAAGCAAAACTAAGTTCTGCCAACACAAAAAAAAAACGGCCTGTGTTGAGCACTATTGCAGGGAAACCCATTTTGGGAGAGTCCACCATTCCGAAGCATCCGATTTCCCCTATGAATTCCTTCTCGCCTGCCTGAGCTGCTGCGGTCCCCCTGGCGAAAGCTTGGCTTTCTACTTGCTGGTGCAATAGGTGGGGAATATGGCGGTACCATTCTGGGGAAGGTGAATTCACCACCCATTTTAGAACCTATTTTAGTGGTTGGATTGGGATGTTCACTGGTGCGATTTGGCTTTTGACCCATGGCCATATGGGAATGAACCCGTCTTAAAGGAAACCCAGTTGGATGCTGAGCACCAAGTCAATTCTTTCCCGACATCGGGAGGCTTCCCCAATCTCAGAACCGAGTTCCCAAAAGCCTCTGATTCAACACATGGGGCTGTTTTGTTCACCCTTTTGAGGCGTTCAAGGAAAACCAAGTGCTTACTCACCATTTGAGATTCTCCCCTTGTTTTAACACATAATCAAGCGCAGCCAGCATGTCATATCGCTGATCTTGACGGTCGACCAACATGCACAAGTCAACACCTGCAGAGATTCCAAGCTTCTACTCCCTATCGTCACTTCCTGGCCTGGGTTCGTCTTCCACAATAAACTGCACTGCTCGTCCCCGCTAAATATATATTATATATATATATATATATACATATATATATATATATATAATATCAGTCAAAGAATGCCAATCCTGCAACCAAGCCAAAAAATACCCAGCGCAGGCCGGTCAAAGTGCCCGCCTCCGACTCCGAGCCCGAGGTACAAAGACCTGCGCCCGACATGCCGCATTGAAGAAACACGCACTCGCCATCGAGGATGCACCTAAAATCATCAGCTGTGGTTGTTCGGCGATTTGACACGAGCTGGAGGATCAATGCACGTGTATATCACTGCTGCCAAGAGCTTACAGAGGCAGCTACCCTTGACCAGGTGCGAGTGGGTGAATGGCACCATACACATGGCACCTTCACAAGAAAGCACTAGGCAACTTGCGGGCAGGGGCGCAAGCCATGATTGTCACGGGTCAAACCAGCAGCTGTCGCCCCAAAAGCAAAAAGTGCTTGCGCTTCAAGTCCAAGTTAGACAGTTGGCACTTCTTAAAGGGGTGGGGTACTTAATAAGTAGTGTGTGCACATGCCTAGAACCCAATTGCCAGTTGTAAGTCCTTCAGCGGGCTGGAACCACGGTGACTTACCGCTTACGTTCCCTGCCCCTTTCAGTTGCTCATGCGCCTGGCAGACTAGCATCCACCTGGCAGTGTCAAGATCATTGCAAGACTGGACCAACTTTGGGTGTCTTTTTGAGGGCACCCCTTGGAGGTTGCTGGTAGGGAAACCACCCGCTCTGGGAGCTCCAAGACACCTCAAGGGAAGGCCAACCGCATGCGCTTGCAGCTGTGCGCCGGTGCGGATGTTTGTGGAATCCGTATTGTTCAAGGGTGATGGAGCACCAAAAGCCTTATGGCAGATCAGGTTTGGCTTGGTAGGGCGAGGAACAACTGAAACACATTACGCATCAAATTTCTGAGTCCGGGGATACGTACAACAACTACACCCCTCAAATTGGCGGGGGAGGGGCGCTTCAGGCCTCCTACGAACGCCCGCTGCTCAACATTTGACCAATGTTGGTGGGCAACCACAATTTAAGGAAACTGCAACTGCAGATCTTGCTTTGGAACCTTTGCATGAAGAGCTCAGTTCAACAAAATCAACATGTGAAGCATGATTTGCTCACGATCAGCATCAATTTCACAGGGCCAAGCGGCTTTTGGCATGACGTCCGCCCCAGCGTTCCCCCCCCCCCCTCCGGGTTTTTCCAGGATGCCTCCATGTCCCCGTCGTCCTTCATGCTCTCTGGGCCTAGCTGAACACAGCTGCCAAATCGCATGGCTGCCGAAAGAAAGGCCCAAATGGGACATGGGACCCCCCCAAAACAGGGGGGTGTCCTTATTGTTTCCCTTGAAAAGAAGCGGCACGTGGTTTGTCCGATGTGCCACCGGCCTCGCAAGCTCTTGCGCAGCTCATCCAGCAACTGTGGATAGCCAGCGCTGCCTTCAAATGTCGATGGATGCTGGGAACAACTTGAAGTCTTGCAGTTGGACGGTTGGAGGGCCCTCTCATTTCAGAGAGAGAATGAGAGGGGGGAGAGAGCCTGACACATATACACAAATGCAAATTTAGGTGTGCTATCTTTGCAGGTTGGTGAAGGCCAATGGTTCGAAGAGCTTCGCAATGCTTCCATGGACCGACAGGTTTGCGACGCCTCGACATCAGGGTTCTATCAGCTTCTCAAAACACCGCCAGAAGGCCAGGGGCCAGAGTCTCAAGTGCGAACTTGTGACTCCGACAATGAGTCTCATTGCTATGGCGGCGCCGCGCCAAAAAAAAAGCGGGATGGAAACAGGTTAAAGGTGCATGCGATCTGGCAGCATGCCTGCCGCCAGGTGCAGCAAGGACAACCTGAGTCGGGCTGCTCCGTTTGTTGCACCACATCGCCCTGCACAAATGGGGCAAACGGTTCCCAAAACAAAAACTCTATAGGAAACGTCCAGAATGGTGGCTTGCTTCAAAGTGGGTGTCTTTGTTTCTTTAAAGCAATCCCCAAGCGGGTATATACCGGTATCCTTAAGCGAAGGCACGCGGCATGGGACAAATCCCCATCTGAGGCCGCCGGCGCTGTCCTGAGCTCTACGTCCAGCGGGGTCGCCGTGGCATCTGCCTCGGGACTTGTCATGGCCTGGGCATCATTGACCTGGAGTGTACAGCGGTTACAAGGGCTTGGGGCTTGCGAGGAGTCTGGTTTAAAGGTTTGGGGTGTATAAAGGATTGTAAGGGAAGGGAAGGGAAGGGAGGGGAAGGGAAGGGAAGGGGAGGGGAAGGGAGGGGAGAAGAGGGGAAGGGGAAGGAAGGGGAAGGAAGGGAAGGAAGGGGAAGGAAGGGGAAGGAAGGGGAATGAAGGGGGGGGAGCGGAGGGAGGGTCCTGCGAATGGATGGCAAACTATGCGAACTGTTGTAGTTTCTATCTTTGCAAAAAGGGTGTCATGTATACGTTGAACACGTGTGGCAGGAAGAAAGGATTGTGTGTGTGACAAACTCGAGAACATTGTCAAAGTTGCTGTCATATTCGGCCAAAGTTCCCAAATTGGAAACCAACCTGCGGAACCCACTTGAATGGATGGCATCGAGAGGAAGGCGAAAGCAAACCAACCGCCCGGAAGGGTGTCAACTTTCATTGGCCTCTACCAAGACACCCAACGACAAACTGCAAATTTCATGGCGCTCATTTCAAAGCCACCCGAAGGAGCCCTCAGGAGTTCGCCCCTTGAGACCTGTTGTCCCGTCACTCCAAGTGAGGCAGGCACCAAGTACTCGTAATCGCCTCGCTGCGCAAATCCAACGAAAAGTATGGTCCCTTCGAAACAGCAAGCAAACGGTTGCAGCCCAGTGCGTAAAGGTGACCGGGCACAGCTGACAAGGATTCCTGCATAGTGGGCAGGAGTCATTCTAAAAAAGCTACGGGAATGCTTGAAGGTAAATGATGTGCAATACACGCGCACGTGCGTGTGCGCCTCTGTGTCCGTCAGTGTCAGTGTCAGTGTCGGTGTCTGCGTCTGCGTCTGTGTCTGTGTCCGCAGTGTCTGTGTCTGTGTCTGTGTCTGTGTCTGTGTCTGCATCTGTGTCCGTGTCTGTGTCTTTGTCTGTGTCCGTGCTTGTGTTTCTGTTTGTATTTGTTTTTGTGTTTGGGTGTGTGTGTGTGTGCGTGTGGTGTGGGTGTGGGTGTGCGTGTGGTGTGGGTGTGGTGTGTGGGCGGTGTGTGTGTGTGTGGTGTTGTGTGTCTGTGTGTGTGTGTGGGTGGGTTGTTCTAAAGAACAAGCATTGACAGTTTTGCCAGCGCGGTGACCAACACAGAACTGAGAGTCGCACGCAGGGCAAGAAGCAGTCGCTGGCTCTCGCCGGAAGCAAAGTGAATCGTATGCACGGGCCTTACAAGCAAGGGCAGCACGATGTTGCAAGTCTCGCCAGTCATGGCGAAGACTCTGATACTGAAGGACTTCCGACCCTTTGAAGAAGCCTCGTCGCCCTGGCCTGAATTTCCATTTGACACAACCAGAGAAAGGGCGGATGCCTTCTGCAGTGAGCCAACGCTTGGGCAGTCCGTTGGGCCCAGACATGGGGCAGTCTGCAAAGAGCAGCTCGAAAGAGATCACCTGCGCCACTTCGGTCCATCTGGCAGTGGTTCAAAATGATAATACCCCAAACCCCAGTTTGCTGCAAAAAAGACCGGCAAAACCTGCGCTCTCGAAACAAAGCGCGGAGCAACATATGTTGAAAGCATTGAACAAGTGTGAAAGGGTCGCATTGAAGGGGCAGTATTCAAGGGGGATGGGCTGGAAGGCACGCTCGAAATAGAATGTGGCGGAGCATTGGGGGAAAATGTCCCTTTGTGTATCCATCAAACCTGACTGGCTCTCACAATGTCCAATCCTTCTGTCAATAGTTGTCGTTCCATAATATGAGGTCTGTGGAAGCCCCCTACCATGGAAACCGAAGATCATTACCCGCAAAAAAGGGGCGGTAAAAACCACCCCGCATGAGGTTTAGGTGGAGACGACTATCGCTTTAAAACCTGAACTGAACTAGGGGTTTCCAACAGACCTCATACACTATGTTGCATTGTGTTCTTTGCTTGCGCGTCGATCAGGGAATCTTCTGTTTATTCCTTTTGTCTGTCTAAAACAACTTGCAGACACATTGTCTACGCCCCCATTCGCTTCTGTTTTCTCCCATTGCCTGTAGCCAGCCCAACTGTTGCACGATTACTCTCTCACACCATAAACCCTTAGCGCTACACTCGTTCAACCCGAGAAGTGGCCAAGAGTTCTTCAACGAGTTGGCCTACAAAACGCTGTCTCGGCTTCGATTGGACACCGGCCTTGCCCTCACCGAAGACCTTGTCCCGGAGCGTGCACCCCACAATGCCGTGGCCTTAGCGCACCAACGACTCCTCACAAAGACGTTCACAAGGAAGGTGGACATCCGGCCAAAAGAAAAACGGGGAACCTTCCCAAAAGAAGCCCCATGCAAAGCACACCAGGAGCAAAAAAAAAACGTGGCGCCGCCATGCAGAAAGGGCGCAGAAAGCCAGGTACTCCTCACTCACCGGAGACACTCGGAGCAGGTACCGTTGGATCTCCTTGGCTTCGGCTGGGTAGCAGAGATGGAGATGGAAGGCTTTGCCTCTCCAAATGCTAAGGCTTGGTGTCCCTGATTGTATCCTTCTGCTTCAAACCGGCCAAGGGGAAGGAGGGGAGGCTCCCATTTCAATTCGATCCGGCCGAGTGCGGAGCGTTCAGCGACACCAGTGGTTCGACCATGACCTACAGTGCCCGCCAAGGGTCAGAGGCAAGCCACTTCCAGGCCCAACATGCAGTTGGTAGCAAACAGAACTGACTCACACGTTACCCGCGTTACCCCATTTGTGGGTCCTCCTTTCATGGTCACAACTTTCCGAGGAAAATCTTCGGATACGGAACCCTAGGACGGACAAACTGTGCGCTGCGCTGGTTCATGGGGTGGAGCCCACTGAAGCATCTCCTATTGCAAATCAAACCCCACTCCAGCTTAAAAACCCATTCCGAAATGCCACACAGAGTTATGTCTACAAACACCCCCGTCCATGGCACCCTGAGACCCTGGCTGAAACCACCTCCCTCTCCTGTGCTTGCTCCTGGAATGGACAGAACTGACCGAAATTAGATTCTACCCCGCTTCCTGCCTGGTTCAAATACATAAAGCGAACGACAAACAAAAATCCACACATTGGAGCGATTCAAACAAAGCAGCTCTCGTTGCTGTTCCGATCTTGAGTTTTCCAACAGTAGGGAAGTGTCTGCGGCTTTGGCGTCCGTCACAACAAGGGCAGCGCAAAAGGCAGTCTCCTTTTGGCCCTCCAGGCGAAGTTGCACCGCTTCGGTCAACGCCTGAACAAGTGGCACAGCGGCACATTTTTTGTGGGGAATGAACCAGTTGGGCACCTTGGTGGCATTTAAGGGGAATTCAAAGGGAAACCACCCAACTTTGGGAGGAACTCACAGGCATAGGATGCCGGCCGATATCTCCTTGAGCCAATAGGCCACCGGGGTTGGCAATTGGTCAACAAGAGATTTTGATTGACGCAAGCACAAATGGAGGTCGTGCTCTGCTGTCCACAAGAACTCCTTAACTTTGGCTGACAAAGGAGCTGCCTCCCATAACGGCTGCCATCGATGGCTTTTGTGAAGGATCGATGGGGGGAACTTCATGCCACCGTCACCCCGCATTTCAGCGGCCTTGAGGCCGCGATCTCTCCGGTAGCGCCAGATCTGGAAACCTCGGATCTCGAGCGACGCTCCACCGTAGGGGTCCTTCGGCTCATTCACATGGCCATGACTTTTTTTGGGACCCTTTGGTGGACATCAGAATTCGGTGGGGATTCATGTCCACCAACCACTTTTGAGGGCTTTCCTATTGAAATTCATAGCCACATGACTCCACATGAACACCAATCCTAACCCTTTCTCAATCAGATTTCAGATGCTTACACGTTGAGTTGACTGGCCAATCAACGCGCTCAACAAGCAGAAGCCCGCTGTCCAACATGCGGCCGCGGACCTCGGCTTCCTTTTGCCCTGTAGTATGGACCCACCACGTGCAGACGGCACTTGACCGGTGCGAAACCTGCGGGGCGAGCCTTCAGCGCTGCTGACCACTGACTGTAAAGCCTAGCCAGCTCGTGTTTTCGGGGAAGGAAGGAGCACCTTTTGGGGGCAAAGGGAATATGCGACAACTGGGATCCCTACAAATGGATGTGTTCGTATCACGTCTCTTTTACAGAGTCACACGGGGATTTCCCTGCTGCCGCCCGTTGCAGCGTGGCTTGGAGCTTGCTAAACGGAGCTACCCTTTTGTCCTTCAGCCTAGACACAAAAGGCCACGCACTACTGCTAAAGCACGAAATGGAACAAGCAGAGAACAAGGATTTCACCAACATGTACTACGTCTTGTGGTTGTCAGCAGTATCACGGAATGATGTTTAATCAAACAACCTCGGAAAAGCCCGCTTGCGCAAAACCAGTTCTTATGTGTTCCACAGTCACCAATGCAAGCGCCTGGACCAGGCCGAGCAAGGCGGCCTGCGACGTTGCCGCTGAGATATCCGCTTCCTCTTGTCAACCGGTTTGAACCCGAAAAATGGGGGGGGGGGGGCTTCCATTGGCTCTCGCGGAGCTTGACCAGAGTGCAGCATATAGTCCTGGCTCATTCCCTTTGCGACTCGCTCGTGCCTTGGGATCCTGGAAGGCCTGCTGAAACAGCGCCCAGTGTTCACCGCCTCGGGGAACTCGTCTCAAATCAGGCCACACAACGTCTTGGAACTGCCTAAAAAGGAACGTATTGGAGACACCTACGAAGAAAATTCTGCCTAAGTCCCCCCCTCCCTCTAATGCGCGCGAGCACGGGCCTTGCAAGAGCTGCAGAAGCCGGCCTGCGCGGGCGCTTCTCTTAATCCCACAAGCCAATCAATCACTCATGGAGCCTGTTGAAACCAAAACTCTCAATTGATGCCTGGAAACACGTAGCCAGTTCCTCCCTGTAAGCTTTTTCGCAGTTTGCGTCTGGTGTTCCGGTGCTAGGGAATCAGCTGTATTGCGATTTCACTGGTCCGAGTCCAATCAAGCGACTTAGCAGGCTGAGCGCCTGGAAGGTGGGCAAACTCCAGCTCGTACGGAGTGCATCGGCGACCCTCAAACCTGAAGCGATGCTGACGTGTCTCACACGCGCAACGTGCAACGGCACTGTCCCCTGGTGTTTTCGGCTTGCCATCCTGTGCCGCAAAGAGAAGTTCTACCACTGCCAATTCTCAGGCTGGTGCAGATCGCGTACCGCAAGCAAGGCCTGTCTTGATCCGTGATCAAAGGCTGAGATTGCCTTGCCACCCAAAGCTTGCAACAAGCATTACACAATGCAATCCAGCAGTGGTGACATCGAAAATCAGCTTCCCTCTAATTGGTGGTTTGGATTGGTGGTTTGGTGGTCTTCCGGAATAGTTTCCCATCTATCCTCTACAAGAACCAGGGGTGCAAATCCCCAAACCACCAATCCAAACCAACAACTAAGGGTAACCTGAGAAAGAGCAAAAACTTCACGTCCTGTCAAACTCGACGCGCGAACTGAACCGAACGAGCCCTCGCCAGGCCTTGGCCACGCCGCCCTTGTCAAATGCTCGCTCCAGTGCTGCGACCGCTCCTCTCGCGGGGGCTGGGCAGACGGACAAGCTGTTTGCTATTGGAGGTCCAAACGTGAGGTCCGCCAAAAATGTCTCAACACGGGTCTCAACACACAGCCCAAAAGTGAAACCTGCTTGCGGATCTTGTGCCTTTTGGGCCATACGCATGGAGATACAAGTAGTCATGACTCAACACATGCTCCCTGGTCGAAATCCCCAGTCAACCAACCACCGCCAACCACGGCCAACGCGGGACTGCTGTGGATCTCCTGCAAGAGCCGGCTGCATGCAGGGATCTGCCCTCTCACCTTGCGCCGGGTCCACAGGCCCGGACTGAACAATGGCGGTGTCGGCCACAACTTGCCTTTCTGGGTCGTAGGGATTCCCCTTTGTTGGAATCATGCGGAAGACGAACTCCCGACCCTCGCCTGTTCCGCCATCTGTGCGACTCGAACCATGCCCACTTTCAAAAAAGGCGTCCGTTTGGCGTCCTTCGACACATCAAATGGCCGTCGTTTTTGGGAGGCAAAGGGAAGCCCGTTTCCGTGGCTCCCCAGTGCGAGACAAATCCAAATGTGGCCATGTGCCATCTGAGCGCCGCTCCAGACAGCTCCTCGCACAGGGAGGAGGCCTCCCGCAGAACCTCCTCATGCTGGAAGCCGCTGCCAGCGAGTCAGCCGGGAAATCGGTTGAAAGGTCACACTTTCTTGACCAAGCAATCGAAGCTCAACAGTCTCTGGGAGTGGGCACCGCGCAGTCATCGTCATTCTGGGAACTTTGAAACGGCTCTTTTGCCCGAAGGTGGCCCCAAAGCTGTGAATAGTTGTCCGTTGTGCGCTCTCAACGCTTCAACACAAACTCGATGAATCGGCGTCACGTTGGCGAGAGTTGAGAGAAGGGAGCGGCAATTCTCGGCTCCTGTTTTCACTGGCTACCTCTTGCACGCGTCGGCAACATTCGACAGGCGAGGTTGCTCCTCATTTGGCACCATCTTCTCTTGGGGAATGGCTGGACCAAAGCAGCCGCCCTGGCAATGGTCAGGCGCTTGTCGCTGCATTGCAACCGGCCTAGGCCTTGTGGAAAAATGGATAGCAATATAAAATGTGCAAATCAAACTGAAACCAGAAGAATCCATCTATATTCAACCCAACTTTCCAAAGAGGGACACCTACAAGCAACCGACCGCTACCTTTCAGCTCTGTCATTGGAAACCACCACCAGCTGACCATCCAACGCCTCTTTGTTGAGGTCACCCTTTTTGAAGTAACGAACAAGGAAACCCAAGGCAAACCGAAGCTGATTTTTGGGGGTTCCTTACGGAAAGCCATGGACCTCCAAATAGCCCTTTCACAAGCCCATAGCACCCATTCCCATACTTCGAGCTTGTTCCGAACTTGCAAGGGACCCAGGGACCGATGTGGTTTTTTGTCAAGACATGCTCCCAGCCTGCTGAAAGTCACCCATGGACATCACCTGTGCGGCCCAGCGATGCACCTCAGTGCAAAGGGATGCTCACTGCCCGGTCTTCTGGAACACAACAGGAGTTGACCCCTTGACCATCCACGCATCAGCTTTACATGAAAGGCCTGTTTTGGCTAGGCTTCTTGCATGCACCTCTTGGGACTGTGCTTGACCTTCACCCTGGGCCTGGCCAATTCGGCTACCCGGCCCCGGAGCGGTACAAGAACTCCAAGAGGCGCGGCTCCTCGCGGGCCCTCGCCTCGCGCGGTTTCCACCCCAGAACGTCCAATACAGGAATACGGGTCAGAACTAGTAGGAAACCTCAAAGTGCAACGAGTTGAGTAAGGGAACGTTCAAAAAGTAGCTCGCAAGGCGTGGCTGCAACCAGCTGTTGTTTCGGGAAAGTCCCGGGCTGGGTGACAAGGGAGGCCATCCCGTGGAGCAGTTTCTGCTCATCTGCCACAGTAAGCCAGCATGAGCCGCATGTTGCATCGTAGTGTTGACATTTGGCCGCTCAAGTTGACGGGCTGATCGGGGACAAGGTAAAGGTTTGGGTTGGCTCAGGGCTAGCTTTGGCCTGGCAGGGTTGAATTTGGATAGCTTGTGCGGGCAAGCGAGAATTTCTGCCTGCCCACAAACCGTCGCACGCCTGCGCAAGTGCATGGCACGTGGTAAGTCGCACGACTGCGCGCATGCCTGGCATATTGCAAGCACACCACGCCTGCGCACATGCTTGGCACATAGTAAGCACACCCGCCCACGCACTCCGTCGCACGCCCGCGCACATGCCTGGCAGACTGTAAGCACACCCGCCCACGCATTCCTTCGCACACCTGTGCACATGCCTGGCACTCTGTAGGCACACCCCCCCACGCACTCCTTCGCACGGCTGACTTGACTTGCTACTTTCTGGACATGTCATTTTTCCGACTGATTTTTTGGGGGGCCCAATCCACTGAGGAAATGATATTCCTGTTTGTGATGAGGTTTGTTTAGCCCTATCTCTTGGCTGATTGCCATTGAGTTGGATTCGTGACTGCAAGGGACTTCTCGGAGCTCGTCCATCTGTCAAAACAGATCCCTGTCTGTCCATTCGCAAAGAAGTAGGACACAACCAATCATTTGGAGCTACACACATAGAACCTTGGTTTTGCCCGGCAAAAAAGTTCTTTTGAGCTCCAAAACGCTGGCAGGCGTGTGACTTGGCATGCAAATCCTGCTGCAGTCACAGCGAAATCAGTGTTTTGGCCTCAAATCAATCGTGAACGCTCCTGTGGCTTGTCTCGGTTGCTTTCGGGTGAAGGCAGTGGTTGTGGTTGCTTTCGGGCTGTTGCTGGGTGGCTATTGGACTGATTTGGTAATTTGGGGCAGCGCTCAGCCTAAGTTCAACCCTAAGACCACCAAACAACTGAGCCCAGCATCCCGAAACCGGGCGCGGCTAAGCTCCAAGCCAGCCAAAAACGTACCCTAAACCAGCCCAAGCAACTCTACTTGAAGCAGTCTTACAATGCAACATGATCCTCATGCCGCTCTCCTTGCCCCCCCCTTCTGACCGACCAGCCAACCAACTCACACCCACCCGCCCACCCACCCCCGCCGACCAGTCCAGCGGCCCATGAAAAGCTGGAGTCACCAACAAGCACTGTTTCCACGTTGAGCTCATGACGGGCCATGGCTAACAATCTGTATCCACGGAATCCAATCCATTACGAAAAGCTGGCAAGCCACTAAACTTGCTGGTGCTCAGCAGGGAATGAAGGAATGACCCCTACAAACCATCCCTTGTGGTTTCCTTTAAGGGGACCCCTGGGTTCATTCCCTCATTCCCTATTGAGCACCAACCACCAAACAAGAATCAGAAAACGCTCTCGCATGGCCTTCAGCGTCCTGGCGATCCGGAGGCAGTAGTGCGCCTGGCGATGCCAGGCGCTGGGAGGGGCCGCTTGTGAGCTGGAAAAATATGTGGATACACATGCACAATATTTATTAATTCACTCATTTGTTTATCTACTCACTTGTTTATTTAGCTATTCATGTGTATGATGTGTATACAAAGCTTACATAACATACGATAATGCTAAAAATGTGGAGGGGCCCCGCAAGTACAGCAATCACTTCCGCTTCCAAACTGTTCAACACGCGTCCTTTCGGCCTATCCTGGCCAGTCGCGGGCTGCTTGAATACAAGCCGGAGGCACCACTGCAATGCCTGAATAGCCCTCGATGGTCTTCTGCCTGAGTATGCCAGAAAGAGGGGGATGGTTTGATGCAGCCTCACCGACCGACAAAACTAAGCCGCTGCGTCCAGAGGCTTGACAAGGAACTGCAGACGTCAATGAATTTCGAGACAAGAAGCATCAATCTGCCCAAGGACTCCATAGCCCCAGCCTCCTCCTGCCACACGCGCAAAGCACTGCTTACGTTTATCCCAAAGGGGCAGTTCAATGTCCCGTGTGCCACGATTCAGCGGGTGCCCAATAATCCTGGCGCTGGCCAACCCCGAGACTCCAGATTCCAGTTCTGCCCATCCAGTTCTCCTCAAAGAAGGTCCGCCGGAGCACAGGCATCGGCAAGGCCCGAAGCAGCAGCAAAAGCACCTGGGCTCCAGCCGAAGCTTCCAGGCCGCTAGTCCAGAAAAAAAATGGGCCACCCAATTCAGCGTTCCCGCACATGGAATCTCCGAACAGGTCAGTGATTATGCCATCAAGATTTAAAGCTCTTCTTGTCAAGGATGATTGTCCCCTGTCGAAAGAGAGTGGTGACTATGAAAGTTGATGCTTGGCATTGCTGCCGAGATCTGAAGGGACCGGGTTTGGAGTGGAAAGAACGGCATCCCTTCGGCCCTGCCGGCTTGGCCAACCGGCCTCAAGGGCCTCCGGAGGCGGCGGCCGATAACCTGCCAAGCGAAACAATGAGACGGGTCGCCCTTTGAGCACACTCTTTCATCGCAAAATTGAATGGCTATCAGCTTTTGGGAAACCAACCAACAGCGGACGCCCTCTGTTACGCCTTTTGCAAGTTCTCAAGTTGACGCCCTCTGCCCCTGCACCAGGTGAGGCATTGGGTCGCAAGAGGTTCCGTGCGTCGAGCACCGGCGCGCAATACGCGAAAAGCTAAGATGCAGCAAAGCACTCAGCACACAGCAAGAAGGAAACTTCGAAAGCTGCGCAGACCCTGCCCCAAGCCATGAGTAGCGTGGGCAGGAAGGGGAGAAGAAAAAAAACGCAAGCCTGTGGCCTTGAGCCACTGTGTGGCGATACCGTCTCTTCAAACACCATGCCAAACCCACACGTGGAGGATACTGCAATATCCGCAATCCAAGCATGACATCCCTAGGCAATGTGTCAACCAGCCAGCATGCAGGGGGTGTGAAGAAGCGGCCCTCATATGGCCACTCCCATGACATTCTACAGACAGGACCTAAGGCTGAAAGCAAGGGTCTTTAGCGAATTCGCTGCCTCCCAGCACAAAGAAGAAACCTGTAGAAAAAACTACCAGCCGATTATTCCAGGCTTCGTTGATCGGCACACAGGCCGCAGACGGTGAAAAAGACGTGTACGGAGAACGGTCCGCCTTCCAGCGAGCATCCAACTCCGCGAAGCGCAAGAAGCGGACCAAGCAGTTCTGCCGACAAAGCCTCCTGCCACAAATGCATCAGGGAATCGCTTTCACCGGCCATGCCTGATTAGAAATGGTATCCTCCCATTATCATTTTATGGTGGGTGTCAGGGTAGTCGAGTTGCCAAAACACATATAAAGCAAGCTGCTGGAGAAAGCTTTGTGCCAAACTCATATTGCTCGTGGCTCAGCTCACAAGTTTCTGAGGTGTACTGATTTCAGAGTTTCGACAACTCTCTTGGATGGTTCCAAGAAACAGAGAGGAAGAGCAAGAAGGCGAGAGAGTAAGAGTGAGAGAGTGCGAGAGCGACAAAGGGAGAGGAGAGGGAGAGAGGGACAAAGGGAGAGAGGGAAAGGGGAGGGAGGGAGGGAGGGAGGGAGGGAGGGAGGGAGGGAGAGAGAGCAGAAACAAGGCAGGTAAAGCCACAAGTACAGGGAATACATCTATTTCACCGTTTGCCTGTGGTTGGCTGACTTGCCTCGAGTTGCCTCCCCGCACATGAGGTGGGAAGACAGGGGCAGACAACGCAGGTCCCCATTCCTTTTACCTGTTCGTTGACCATTTCCAAAACGGAAATGGGCTTGTCTCAAATAGAGAAAGCCCCAGCAAATCTATGGTGTGGCTTGGGTGTCCCCTCCGACCCACCTGAAAGGGACACGAACTCCAAACGAGGCAAACCCACAACTGGAAAGAAACGGCGAAGCTGGAGCCCCAGCCTGGAGCAAGCTCAGCGTCGAGTCTGGGCCTGCCAAGGACACCTCCGCCAAAGCGAGGGCCGGTCGGCTGGCCGCTCAGTGGGTGGGTTGAGTGATGGGTTGGGTGCCTGCGGTTGGGAGGCTTTCCAGGTGGAAAAGGTGGGGCGCAACCCCAACAGAATATTCAGAACCCAGGACTCATAAACCACTGGTTGATGTTTGACAGTGAGGGGATCCTTCCCCTTCGGCAGGAAGCCGCCAAAAGTAATCTGCCCTGCCAGGTCCTCACTGGGAGGGTTGGGTGCCACGTAAGGAGGGCACTACGCGCCATATTGCACTGGGCCAGACTCAAGCCTCCCTGCAAAAAGTGAACTTGTTGGTTGAAAGGGAATGTGAAGCCAACCCAAGTGGGCAAACGGTAGAGAGGAGCCCGTCTCAACAAACACGGAAGTGCCCAGAATTATTTTGCAAGGCGGGCGTTGGCCTCGCAAGCAAGACTACTGTCCTTCAAAGCAGTGCGCGCTAATGAGGTGGTCGCCTCGTGTGCGAACCTGCCGTGTTTGTTGGAGAGTAGTTGAGTCCACACAAAAGGTCGCGCCTCCAGCTCCGTGGCACCGTGCCGCAGCAAGCACCGCGTGTGGGCCTGTAGTTTCCCCACACTTGCACGTGTGGCCATCGCCAGGAGTCCCCCACGAACTTCAGGGCCCAAATGGGTAGGTCTCTGAATAGGCTGGAACCCGGCAAAACTGGGTTGGTGTCCTTAAAATGCTTTACACATGTCGTGAAACCGTCTCAAAGACAACCCCGAAACTGATGCCGACTCTAGGGCCAGCGTGCACTCCTAACGGCAACAGTTTGCGTTTGATGGTCTGCAGAGTCGGCGTTTGGATTGATTGAACGACTCGCGGAGGCCTGAGGCCCGCAGTCTGATGTTTGTAGAAAGAGTGGGTCAAGCCCTGAAGCCATCAACACAAGCCACCTGTGCGCAGATCCCAGCAGCCAGCGCTTGAAACAAATTTGTTGCTGGCCTCCAGCTCGC